TGTGTTGAGGAGCCAAGTATGGAAGGGGAAGGGGAAGGGGAAGGGGAAGGGGAGGGGAGGATAGAAGCGCATGACAACCTCATCTTTGGCACTGACACGGGCAAGCATTGACACATGCCGTTTCATTGGTTACGAAGACACAATATAATAAAGGTCAATAAAAAATAATTTGTTGATCATTTGATTATGGAACAAAAATCTTCTTTCGTTTCTTTTGATGTGAGAGGTAAATCATCTCAATCTTCGTTTACACCATTTGTTTACTAAATTACTAATTAGGATATATACTGATACAAATATGGTATACATCATGACTCCACCGAAATATCGATGAAATTGATACTCCCTCTGTCCAGGAAAGAACGTAATTCTCGCTTTTCGAGAAGTCAAACGGTTTAAACTTTGACTAAATTTATATAAAAAACCATTATCGTTCATGATATAAAATAAGTACCGCTAGATTAATTATAAAATATATTTTCATAATAAATTTCATTTGAAGACATAAATGCTAATATTATTAACTATAAACTTGGTCAAACTTGAGTTACTTTGACTAGCACGGATTCTATAATTGCAATCTTTCCTGGACAGAGGGAGAGTATATGTATATAGAATTCGTCTTATCTACCCATACTATATAGTATATTGTTTTTCAAAACTCTCCATAAAATGTTTTGAATCCAAATTATTTGACATCTTAGTATCAATAAAAAAGATAAAGGTGTCCTCATCCACTTCAGTAACTTAGATAGTGATATTGTTGTTTCAAAACTATCAAAAATTCCAATCCGAGTTATTTGTTTTGTATCTGTATTTAATTTAAGAGCATTTAAATATATACTTTGGAGCCTGTATCGATGACATGTGCCCCCCTGAGAAAAGCGTGCGGGCTCCCCGTTCTCACAGCTTCAGAACCCCTACGGCCCCACCCCGTGCCCGCCCCGGCTTCCCGTTCCGTGCTGCCCGCCAGTTCAAACCTCGAGAGCCGAAGCGAAGCGGAGAGGCCAAGCCCCCACCGGCGGCAGCGGAGCCATGGGGAGACCACGAGCGACCGCCGCCGCCGCCACCTCCAGGCCCAGGCGCAACCCCAAGCCAAAGACGGACTCCTCCTTCCTCTCCCCGCTCGCGTCGCCGTCTGCCACACCGCGCACCCGCACCCGCACCCGCACACGCAAGGGCGCCATCCGCGGCGGCGGCCCCTCCCCCGTGTCGTCGTCGCCGGGTTCTTCCCCCGCCGACCTCAACATCAGCTTCCTCTCCTCGCCGGGCTCCGCCTCCCCGCCGAAGCTAAGGTCCAGGGCCAAGCCCAAGTCCAAGCCGGACCCCTCCTTCCTCTCCCCGCTCGCGTCGCCATCGCCGTCGCCCGCACCGCGTACTCGCAAGCGCGCCGTCCGCGGCGTCGGCTCCTCACCCGCGTCGTCGTCGCCGGGGTCCTCCCCCGCCGACCTCAGCATCAGCTTCCTCTCCTCGCCGGGCTCCCCCGCCTCCCCGCCGAAGCCCAGTGCCAGGGCCAAGCACGCGGCGCGCGCGCCCCTCGTCGCCAGCCCCGGCGCCGCCACACCTTCCCCCGCCGCGTCTCCCCAGCCTGCGTCGGTGGCGGCGACGGGGGTATCCAGCGTCGGAGACCTCAGGACCGCCGTCGCCTCACAGATGGAGAACCTCAAGCGCCGACTCGACGCGCTCCATTCCCGCGCTCACGCCGACCTCGATGCGTCCTTCTCCCGCGTCTCCAAGCGAATCAAGGTGAGCCCGCCGCGAGCCTCTCCCGCACTCCGCTCCCCTCCCAGTCGCATTGGGGTTTGGTTTCGAGCTTCGTGGTTTGCTTGTCCGGGCCCTGCCAACACGAAGTGCTCCATATTGGTTGATGTTGTAGAGTGCTAGCGTGTGAGGAACTGGAGATAACCATTGTTGCATGAATGGCTTACGTGTCATTTTCAGATGTTATGGTCTCTGTCGATTTGTAGATTAAGCAAGACGTTGTTTGTTAACATATATGAAATTTTCTCAGTTGTGCTGAACATCTGATCTATGAGGTTACTATATCCGATTTCTACCATTGACACTATATCTGAGTTTCAAAAATTGGTACACGAGATTGCTATGTCTGAGTTTATACAATTAAAACATGTGCAATGTGCGTAATCTGCTGGTGGAGATAGTTGATATATAAGATGTTTTGTATCATAGATGTTAACATTTGTGGATAAGATATAAATCCATTAAATGAGTAGTGTATCTGGATCCCCTCCCTTTAGAGGCTTGTGGCATTAGTGTACATAGTGATACATGGGTTTTGTTGGCAAGAGTTTATGTTTTAAGTGTTGTATCATGAAACGGCACTGAATGAGGCGCTTATTTGTTTTGCTAATTCATTGCAGAGGACAAATTTTGATATCAGTAGAAAATGCGATTAGTTTCCCTGGAGCATTTAACCCATGCTGCCTTTGGAGATCTATGGAATTATAATTGCAATTGGTGCAATAACATGGTCAAATAGATTTCATTCACTCTCCTTGCTTGTAGTTCATTTATGTAGGTAAAAATTTGCTTAAATGGCATGGTGAGCTTTTCCATGCAAATTTTGTATAACAGTGCATTTTCCACACCAAAATGTCAACCCACGCTCTGATGCATGCACAGTCTAGTTAATCCACAGCTAATGCATTTTATTTGCTTCTGGTGTTCTATTTGCTCTAACATTTTTTTTTGGGAGACCCAGTTACAAACGCTCACATACACGAGCGTACACTTATGTAAGATCTTAATTCTCTTTTCAGACCCAAAACAAAGCCTGTCAGCAACTAGCAGATGAAGTTGACAAGGAGCACAAGAAGATGTCTGATGATATAAAAGAAAGTTCTGAGATTGCCAGGGTACAAAATTTGTAGGCCTGTCAGCATCCGGAAAATTTCTATTCTTTTTTTTCTATTTTAATTTTTTCTTTGTCATTTTCAGGCAAAGTACAAGCAGATCATCGCAGAGGCACAGGCATCCACAACCCGTGGTACTACGCACATACTATACTTCAAGTTCCTGTTCTCTCTCTTCGACTTAACACCACTATCTTGCTTCTAGAGTTGACTGATACGACCACATCAGTTTGCAAAATATGGTCATAGCTAAATAATGATAGGTGGAAAGCAGGACATATCTATGGCCATGTTCTGTTCCTCTGGTTTTAACATTCATGATTCGGTTGATCCTAAATTGTTGCATAAATGTGGTTTTTATAAACTGTTACTAATCTCTGCATGTTACTATCATATCTCAACTCTTACATTATGTTGGTCTTCTCCATTCTCATTTGTCTCTATTAATTAGTGTGCAAGGTGACTATCCCTGTGATGACAAAATCTGTGGAGAAAGCTATTGATGGTCTGTGTACCCGTTATAATATCTCAATGCCAGTTTAGTTACCAAGTACAAGTTCTGTTCACTACACTTTTGAGTAAGTACCACTACTTATCCTTTGATGAACTGATGATGGATTTATCCCTATCTCTAGTTTAGTGTAACCTTTTTGCTAAATTAGTCTAGTATCTTCCCTTTTGTAAACTTTTTATGCTTTGTTATCATTTCCTATGTGCTTAATAAGCAAGTCAGGAATGCAAAAACTTTGCAATAACTTCTGATGACTATACAGTTGTAGTTAAACTTTCGAACTCACTTCTGTTGCTGTAAGTAGTGTTGGAAAATAGAGTGCAACTTTAACTTGGTTGGCTGTGAAATATTTTCAATTAGCCTGTGCAGTGAACACCGTTAAACTTATGGTCTATTTCTCGCAGCGTTCAATAAAAGTTATATTGGACAAGAAATGAAAAGCTTTATTTATACTAAGGCAATTCGCTCTCACCTCTCTGGTGCATATTGATGTAGTATTCCATTTTCCTATGTTCAACATTTACCTAATTGACTTTGTTAAAGCTTGTGTGTAACATATTGATATATATTTTTCCCCTGTATGATATAGCCACTTTTCCATTTGGCTGTGAAGGCAACGTTCCTTTGATACTAAGATGTGTTTCCTTTCCTTTGCAGATAGCCTTCTTCACATCAAGCGGACAGTTGAATCCTCATGTCGTGATGGTGTGGTCGTTGTTTCGACATCCGTAGATAATCAGTAGAGTACAGACACATAGAAACATCGAATGATAGTTCATGAGCATAGGAAAGCATGTAATATCAGGAGAGTTTATCGGTATCAGTAACCCTTTTTTTTCATGACTTCAGTCAGTAGCAAAGCAGGCCATCGGATGCTAAACTGTTGTTCCGTCTGAGAGATCTTAATCTGACAGTCACACCAGCGTAATGTAATATGCTACCTATTACTCTAGAGTTATTTTCCCTAAAGATTGAAGATGAACTTTTCTATGATCGTCCAAAACTCAGACCCCATATCACTTCGGTTCATTTTGCATGCTGCCGATGCTCCTTACCCCCCTTTTTTTTTGTGGTTTCAGTATTGACATATACAAACTGTGACATTGATCCAGAAGAAGCTGAACATGCACTTGAAATAGCTGAAGCTGACTTAAATAGAATCTGAATCAGACATGTTTTCCGGTTACATCTGCAGCAGTAGCAAGCAACGAACCAAAATAGTAAGATAAAAACCAGTGACGCTAGAATTTTAGTAGACCCTAGACACGAAGAAAGCTTCGTGTCAAAGCGGGCTAAAACCCTGCGAACGAACTATCATGTATTGATGTACGAATCAGGATTTGTTTCCTGTCACTATTTCAGGAACCAAACTTGTAATGCCTCACAGACAATACAAAGCTAGTGGAACTGTGGAAGTAAAATCTAGCCTCTAATTAGTTTCACGAGCACACCAGCACTGCATCTCAAGAAGAAAAAAACGTAGCATTACACATGGATTAGGTCCACAACGCCCAATTGCAGAACTAATGAGCAACGAGGCAATGATGAAGCGTTCCCATTGGAATCTGCATGCTCGATTGTGTTGAGGGCCAACATTTGCAGAGTCGCTGCCCCCATCAGGCTTGGTTCAGCTTGCTCAGCCGAGCCTTGGCTTGGTCAAGTTGCTCTGTAACCCATAGCAAATCGTAAAACCAGAGTAATGTTAGACAAGGCAGGCTAAGGAGAGAAAGTTACTGGAGAAAGATGCAACGCAATAGCGGTGCTGGGCAGTTCAGCATACTCTGCTCCGTTGTGACCACTGATTTGACGCTCTTGCGAAAGAAGATGTTGCCAGCTTTCTGGTACACCGTCTGTTGCAAACCAATAAACTATGACTCTGTGAGTAAGATGGACAAGTTGTGAGTTGGTGACAAAGCAAGCTACTGAAAGTTTGATCCAGTAAGCATATCCATGCTCTTGCTCTCAAACCGGATAATCAAAGCTTCTGCAAGTGCTTTGCAATTGTCATCTGATTACCAATGTAAGGTTATGTAAAAGTGTAGCATCAGTTTATCACTGGACAACAACCCTAGTGGTTGCCATTGGTAATTTAGACTTTTTGAAAGAGTGCTATTGGTAATTTGGTACCATGACAGAAATCGCAAGCAAGGGAGGGAGACACAGGGGAAGAGGCTGACCCGGGAGGGATTCAGGTTGCCTAGCTCCGCGATCGCCACCTCGTGCGCCCGTATCTGCGGAACACCAAACCAAATCAGATTATGTTATTTCTGCTGTCACCAGCCGAATTCGGAGAACAATAACAGGAACCTCGCGAAGAGAACTATACGAAACACCGATAGAGGTGTGAAAGTATGGGGAGGTCGAGAATACCTCCTTCATGAGCTCCACCTTCTTCTTCACCACCTCCTTCGCCGGTGTCGACCCTGCCGTCGCCGCCGCCATCTCTGTCCGCGCTTCGAGAAAACCCTCCCCTCGCCGGAAAGACTTGGAGCTGGAGCACAGCCGCCACACAAAGGAACCATGTCATCCAGTCAACTACTAGTAACATGGGAGGCCCATCTAAAAAAAAGAGGCCGGATCGCACAGCCCAGGCCCAACTTCTTGGCTTTTATGGTCCAAGACTTGGAGCTGATTTTTTTCCTCTCAGGACCTTCCCGTAGTCCCCGTACTACCGGAGTCGCGGCTCCGTCCATCCCCGCCGCCGGCAAAGTCCCGTCCGCGGGGCTACTCCCAGTCTGACAAAGCCATCGTCGGGGCGTCAACGTCGCCAACGGTCGCAGTAACCTTCTGGAGTTGCGGCCGGGACAAAAGGACAAGGAAGACTCCGATCCGCCCCATTGGGCAGAGTTGGCGGCTCACCTGCGTTGGCGACGCAGGTTGCCCAGATGGAGGAGAAAGGCGAGGTCCGGTTTGCGTCCCGGGTGTGGAGTTTCCGTGTAGTAGCGGCCAGCGAGCAAGCTAGGTGAGTTTTGAAGTGTTTTTACATGCTTCATTGTTCGGACTCAGTTTACCAGGCTGCCGTTGTGCTCCTGAAATGTGCATAGTATTCCTCTGTGTTAATATTTAGCTTGTTCGCTCGTTGGTTTCAGCCTGGGCTTATCAGTCAGCCAACAATATTTTCCTCTCATAATAAACCAGCACCAGCCGGGTTTATCAACCTAGAAACTAATCAGCGAACATGCTCATTATGAGTCTACAATGAGGGGGCAGTGATGGCACTTTTAGAAGTTCCATATTAATGCAAGTAAATCTTCCGAAGGTAGGTGGATTTCCGTGTTTTGGTCAACAGAACGCTACCAGCAGCTTGTTCGTTTCGTCGTAAACCATCGTGGATTATTTACTGCTGGCTAGTTTGGTGTGGGAGAAAAGTACTGTTCCAGCTTATAATCCACGATCGTATACGAGCAAGCGAACAGGCTGCAGGAGCCGTGCTTCTGTTTGGAAACAAATATGCATATGAATTCAGCTTATCTTAAGTTCCATCTGGAGTCTTTCAAAAATAAAATTACATCTGGAACTTGTAGTGATTACTGAGCCTTAGCTTTGCAACCATATGTTCATTTAACAGCAAAAGATATGTATTCAAATAGGTTATATGGAAAATAATACAAGACAAGTTCTATCGAGCTTGTGTTAAGTGCTGCAAATATTATAGGCTATTTCATAATCAGATAATGCTAAATAAGGGAGAGAATGTAGCCAGACAGCTTCAGCGGTGGCAATAAAAATCTGACAATATCGGCAGTTACAACACCCACCGATTGAGGAGAAAGCAAGAACTGCTGGTGCATATCTTAGTCAGGCACTGTGCTAAGATCTCACAGTTAACATAGAAAGCTGGAAGGACCTTGGTTGCTGACCCCTCTGCAAAAAAAGTGTATAAACCATTGTACAGGATGCGATCGCGAATGAATAAAGTTTGATAGTTAATTAGTTCATGTACTAATATACTAGTATGGTATTCCCTCCATTCCAACCTGTAATTCATGTACTAATATACTAGTATGGTATTCCCTCCATTCCAACCTGTAATTCACTTTGGCTTTGTCCTAACTCAAAGCTCTCTAATTTTGACCAAGTTTTTAGAAAAAATATTAATAAGATCAAATAAATGCACTATTAAGACATATTTATGGTGATTTTCACGAAACTAATTTATATTAATAATATTATAAGTGTTGATGTAATTTTTTTTAATAAACTTCATCAAAGTTAGTGAGGTTTGACTGAGGGCAAAACTAAAGTGAACAATAATTTGAAATGGAGGGAGTAAAGTACAAAATATTTTATTTTGTATGTATATTGTATAATAATATAATATACTATATTCACACGAACAGTATAAGTAATTTTGTACTCTCTTCGTTCTTTTTAAGTGCGATGATTTTTACTTCTTTGCAGTCTACGATATACAACTTTGACCTCTCCTTTTTGTAACTTCATATAAGTATATGTGAAAAAAATTAATTTTAGGAAAGCATTTTGAAAGAAAAAAAATCAGTAAATATAATTTTCGTATAGCTGAAATTGATAGTTTGAGAGACACTAGTGGTTAAACTAGTTTGACGGCATGGACTATGTGTTAAACAAAAAAAAAGTAGGGAGTGTGTTTTAGCAATCAAAAATCAAAATTAAGGAAGTTTGACGATGCAATAAAATGTTATATTTTGTATGAAGGTAATATAATGTATATGCTTCATTCTGAACTTCCACTGTTGATATGGTTAAAAGGTGAAGTGTAGTAGTTAAGTTGCCAGTTTGTAAGGAAGATGGTCAAATCCAGTCAGTACTCTGTTTTGGAAGCCAATCTTCAGGCAATGCTTGAAGTGTAGATTTCATTACCAACTGAGTAATAAAACAATACCAAGCTGTTTGAGAAACCAATGGGGCACAAAGCAAAAGTTGGTTGATACATCCGTAATATTTTAATTTTAGTTAAAATTTAAAACTGATCAAGAGAGGAAAACAAAATAGCTGACATCCTTGCCAAAGGCGCTATAAAGTTCCCAGCTGATGAATTACAAGTTACTTGCTCTATTGTCAAGGATGAGGGGCACTGCCTACTGTAAGCAAACTGGCCATCAAGAGCCAACATTTTGTAAAATCACTTGCACCCAATTAAGTTTTAGTGGTCGCTTATGTTAAAAAAAAAAGGAAGTGGTCAATACTGTGAAATAAATAAATAGTCTTGGCACGATAAGGCTGGAGCTGGACATCGGTATTGTTGTTAATTCACTGAGCAAGATTCATAGCAGTGTGCTTCAGCTTGATTACACATGGACCATGCTAACTAATCCAATGAGATAACATTTTATTTACTCAAGTTGTTTTATTGGTTTCTTGCAACCTGGGGATATTCTATTGTAGTTTATTTTACCTAGATGCTCTTTTTACTAGCCCAATATTTATAAACTGATACATTAAAATGTGTGCTTCCTGCAACTGTTTGATTAACTTTTCTTCTACAATATACTTCTATACTTTTCTAAAAATGCATGGCTACTTGCTGTAATTCTTGTGTTTCAGATGTGAGGAAGAAGCACTCATTTTTAAAATATATGTTTGCTATTATTTTAGAACTCAAGTGATCTCTTGTCAGGAATGTACGATCAGGTACGATAAATGTGTAGTACAAGAAAAATGAGAGTTGCAGCATCTATCTCATTTGGCCATTGATTAAGGTTCAAACTTGCACTATCTCTTTCGAAACATTCATGTATAACCTGTGGGCCATGCACTAGGTTTACATTGCCATCCACTGAAGTGATAGCACAAGAAATCATGCTCCAGTGTTTCAAAAATGGGGGCCTAGCACGCCATGCCTTGGCCTGTAGTTGCTAGCCACAAGCCCACAACCAGAACCTTCAAGTCTTCCTTTTCTGTACAATATCTGAACAAATTAGTTATTACTCATGTTACTGGATATGTGACTAAGACCTCGGAAATCATCTAACATAATGCTTGACCTTCCTTTAAGCTCTTTGGGAGTGTGAGAGATCAGTTTTTGTGGTTAACAACCATGAATAATTAGGGAAGGAAATGTGAAAAGAGATTACTTTGAGCATGTAGGCCTCAAAATTGGCAACAAGATTGAAACTAATAGGCCTTACAGAAATAAACGGAGGGAATACAAACTCTGTACTAAAATTTTACTGTGCTCTTTGTGGTTATCTTTTTAGTCCCCACAGTGCTTCACACAATGTGGTCATAATAATCAAGTTATCCATTACTTAAGTGAAAAGTGGGGATGGACTTGGGTATTTATGGCTATTAGCGTGTTTGAGAAAAATTTATGGCTATTAGCTATGAGAAACTGAATCAATATTTACTTGTTACACTTTTATTAAATGGCAGATTTGCTGTATCTAGAGCCAGAAAATGAGAACTGATGTATGCTAGAAAGCAAACCTGTGCTCCATCAAAAGTCTCAGTGCCAATATCTCCTGTCTATTCTGATGTTGTTTATCTACTATATAAACTTCTGCCCAAATGATAGTTTCATACCTATTTGTCTTTTCTTGTGTAAACCCCGGTGAAAACAATCTATGAAAGTCAAAGGATATATACTATGTATATAATGCACACACTAGAATCAACGAAGGGAGAAAAATGGGTGCCATAAACTGAATTTCTGAAATCAAGCCAAGCAAGAAGGCAACACAGGTAACAAAAGATTGTGCCAAGAAAAACTTCACAAAACAGCTAAGCCGGTAGAGCATCATTACCCCCAATTAATTCTCTTTGCTTGTAAGGGTGAATTGCACCGTCATGTCAATGGAAACCAAGGAGCTCGAACACATGCAAACAAGGGTTTCGACGATGAACTCACAGTAGTTCTTCAGTTGCAGAACGCTAGATGACATGAAGTGATATTGGCTCGGCTCACCTCTGGCACTTGTGAAGTTTGCTGTCGATGAGAGATGAGCCAAGTCAATACCATGCCATGTCGTCTCGTTCTATGCTCTTGGCTCTCTTCGTCTGAATGCTCATTCACTGCACTTGGGTCGCCTTTATAGAGCAGCCGTGAATAGTTTTTTAAGATTACAGCTGTCGTGTCTGGTGCTGGAATGAAATCAGATCAAACAGCTGGAAATTCTGACCGTGATCCGGTACGACAAAAAATCGTTCATATTCAACCGATTTTTTTAAAACCCCCCAAAAAAATCGAAAACCTGCAACCGATTTTTTTTATCAAAACTATTTTTATCAAATTATTAGACTGTTGACTCCAAATAAAGGCCAGTGACGGGCTTGGATATATCCTTCAGAGTCCAGTTCTTGCTGGAGAGAAAGCAACAAAAGTTGGGCATTGGCTAGGCTCCCGTTTCGTTGCTTTTGACAGGGTCAGTGACTATTTTTTCAGGCCGGCCGTGTGTTGTCCCCTTGTGAATCGGTCGGCATAACTTAGAATAGCTCGATTGCATGCCCAAAGCAAACCGATC